AACCAAACCAAACCAAACCAAACCAAACCAAACCAAACCAAACCAAATCAAATCAAACCAGAAAACAAAACCTACATTTCCCCAAAAGTGCACCATCAAAGGTCTTGAGCTGATAGCTCTAAATCAAAAAGGTCAGTCAGTGGAAAAATTGGAAAGCAGTTAACAGTCCAAATTAGACTGAAGGTCACTAGTCAAATAACACCTGTACTTCCAAGAAAAGTTTTTTTTTGTTTGTTTGTTTGTTTGGGTTTTTTTGTTTTGTTTTAATTTTATTTCCAAGACACTAGCACAACTGGGATTCAGTAAGGCCTTAGGGAGTACAGAGAAGACCTTCCCACCCATTGGGCAAAACCTTTTACTTGATAGAAAAGTCTTATCTCTATTTTGCCCAAAGACAGCCTGACACCCTGCACTAAGATGGGCTAAGCCTTTCTTAGACAGGATGAAGGAACCAGAGCATGGGTATCCCACTGTGGTCCTCACAGCTATTGGAGTTCTAGAGTTCAAGAAGGGACAGACAGCCTGTGCTGCCTCCATCTGGGTGCCTGCCACCTACCTTGGCATGCAAGGAGAAAGCAGGGACCTTGGGTTGTTCAAACACAAGGTAGTGGTAATCCTAACAGCCAGCGGCAAAGTGCCATGTCGGAGGAGGACTCCAGCGCTAAACAGAACCATCCAGAATCACAAAGCACTGTTCAAAGAACTGTTCACCCATCTCCCATGTCAGAGGAAGACCCAGATGAGGACCCAGAGACTTCAATGCCTAGAACCCGTGTAAACCTGGGTGTGGTGGCAGGCGCTTGTAGCAGCAGAGCTGGGGAGGTAGCCACAGGCAGAGCCCTGGAGCTTGTCAGCCAGCTGTTCTAACTGAATTTCAGGTCAAGGGAGTCATGCCGTCTCAAAAGGCAAGGAGGACAGTGTTCTGAGAAAGGCCATCTGAGGCTAAGCTTTGGCCTCTGCCCATGCTCACACACACAATCCACATGTAAGCACATACACATACACATGTGATAAAATAGCACCTACACACAAGGTGCTATTTTATCAGTCATAACCTGATTTATCAACGCAGCACAAGGCATTGATATTTACTGGTTCATTCCAATGAAAGTTATTTGTCATTATATATGACAACCCTGAAAACGTGTAACATGATTCACACTTTAATTACAATAGAAATATGCCGCTACACTCATGCAGATAATTAAACACAGCTCGAACTCATTACTGAGTTACTTGAAAAAACAAACTGCTAAGCCCAAGACTTAATTATAAACTTCCAATCTGACTTGAATTAATTCTTTCTCGCCTCCAATGAATTCCAGACATTTCAATGGAATCTCATTGAAATTTCAGCAAACATTTATGTCATTGACTTCATATTCTTTAAGGTAGTTAAAAAACAAAACAGAACAAAAAACACCCATATATTTTCCAAAAGGAGACTGCACAGGCAGATCGCCACCCACGATTCACAGCTGTAGATTTCTAAGAGGCAAAATCAAGGAGTAAGTGAGCTTTGGAGGCTGGGAGGCATGGCCTGCCTGGTTCAAGGGCTCAAGGAGCCTTCCATTCATCATCACCCCTTTGACCTTCCAGGGCCTTCTATTCACCCCTTTGACCTTCCAAGCCCTTACATTAACCTCTTTGACCTTCCAGAGCCTTACATTAACCTCTTTGGCTTTTTCCATCCAAGGCAGGTTAATCTTTGTTTCTTAGTTGGGAGGAACAGTTTCTTACCACCTCAGAACACAAAGGACTATCTGTAGTCCCATCACTTGGAAGACAGAGTAAGGCAGAAGGTGTAGGAGTTCAAGACCAGCCTCAGCTGCCTGGGCTACAGGAGTCTCAATTAAAACAACAAAAGGAAAAGAAAAAAAGCCTCACAAATGACCACAGATAAGAGAGCATTAACTGTCTCTAGCAATATGCCTTTGCTTTTGGAATGAAGCAGTCTTTTATGTGCATATAAGCAAGATGTGTTTGATCGGAGATGCCAACAGATAGTATTCTGCTTTCTGGTTAACAAATCTATTTATGTGTGTGTGAACAAAAAAAAATTTTTTTTCTGAATTCTACTAGAAATTCTAAGTTAAGCTTTACATTTACTTAAAAGCTGTATTTTTTTTTTTTTTTTAATAGGTAAAGGAGACCACCACACCCTACTCAGCCGAGTCACTTCTAAAGCTTGACTTAGTCTGCCATCTAGTGCCCAGAACAAGGAAATCATAGCAGAGCCGCTGGGACACGTTTTGACGGATGACTCTTTCCAGAGACAGTGGCTGGGCTCTATCAGCAGGAGAAAGACAACAGATAGGTGTGACACTACTTGGTGTGGTTTGTGGGTTAATTTCACGTCACCTGAATCCAAAATATCCTTAAACATGGAAGGCCCCAGCACCCCAAGGCCGGGACTGGGGCTGGCTGCCGTGGGTGAGCACTGGCAAACAAAACAGGCAACCACAGCACAACCAGAAAAACAAAAGCAAACCGAACAAGACTGAGCGAATGTCGAGAGTGTCTTTTAGGACATCATCTAAAAACCCGGTCGGCCGTCTCCTTAATCACCCGTACTTATGCTCTAAAGCAAAGGAAAGCAGTCTACACTGAGACCAGCTAGGAACTTCAGTTCCACCGTTTCTCAGCTGTGTGCCGCTGTTAAGTTATTCACTTCCCGGGTCTCTGGGCTGTGCCTTCTCTGCCAGGAGAGTTATAATAGCTAAATTCCAGTAATGTGTGAGATCTCTCCACTGTGGGCATTTATTGAACCTTTAGGATATCCTAGACACTGTGCTAATAAGTTCAGAATAGGAAATTGTCTACTCTTCTTAGTAACATGGTACTCAGAGTTGTATCTTACTCCTTCTGTAACCGAGAACACTGAGGCCTAGCAAGATGCTATCAAACAGTCCAAGAGCTGTCAGATGGGAGGTAGGATTCAAACCCAGTCCGCCTGACACCGGAACCAATATGTACAATCCCTGCATTATACTGAGTGTCCCGTTACGGTTCTATTGCTGTGGAGAGGCACCATGCCAAGAAAACGCTTGTAAAGGGAACCATTAATTGGGGCTGGCTTATGGTGTCAGAGGTTTAGGCCATTACTATCATGGCAGGAAGCATGGCGGTGGGCAGTGCGGGCTCTGTAATGCATTTCCTTCTTTTTAGAAACTGGATACTTACAAAAGAAACAAACAAAGTTCCACAAAATTGGTTCTCTGATCTATGTGGCTGAACTTTCCCCTAATATTTTCTCAGGAAAAATGGTTATAATATGAAATTTATCACCTTCCCTGTTCCGGGTACAGTTCCATGGGCCAAATACACCCTAATGTCTATTTCCAAAATGCTCTTGTACCCATTAGACAATAATGCCTACTTTCTCTACCTACCAGGCCCTCAAGCGCCATTTTACTTTTGTGCCTTTCTGATTTTGATTACTCTAAGTACCTTCTCCAAGTGGAGCCCACCGTAGTTGCTTTTTGTGGCTGGGCTTGTTTTACTGAGCATAATGGCACTGGCAGTTCATCCATTCGTAGTGTGTGTTAGAATTCTCTTCTTTCTAAGGCTGAGTAATACCTCACTGCATGGCTATGCCTTGTTTTACTCATTGGTAGACATGTGGGCTGTGCCTATGTGTTTGTGTTGTGAATAATGACAATTTGAACATGGGTACACAAGTAACTCTCTGAGACCTTACTCTCAATCCTTCTGGGTATATACCCAGAAATCAAGTAGCTAGACCACATCCTAACAGTTCTTTACTGGTGTATATTTGGTTGTTCGTGGTTTTCATATTCGCATGTTGAACCATCCTTCCCTCTTTGTCCTACCCCCATCAAACAGTACCCAGGACCCTCTTAAAAAACTTTAGCCTACAGTCCCAATTCCTCTTATCCTTTTCTACTTTGTGTATTGTTTTAGAGATTTGCCACTTCCTGGAACTCTACACAATTTTCCTGTTCATAGAGTGTATTGTCCGCTGGCTTTTTCCTCTCATCAGGAGGCAAGTCCTCTTGGGGGCAGCAGGGTCGTGGGGGCTGGGGAGGGGCTTTGTGTCATTTGCTCAGCACTCAAGTGACTGCGGCAGCACCGGGCAGCGGGAGTGGTCACTGACTGGCTTCTGTATTGAGCATCTCTGCATGCATGCATCAGGGGGCTTAGCCTAGCACCAGCAGAGGCGGGCGGGCTGAGAGCGAAGCACACTTCGCACTGGACAGGGAATGCTACCTGCCATTTTTGGGAGTGAGTTGTAATAACACAGTCCTCTCAAAAATATTGATC